CCATGGATTTGTTTCTCTAGTCTACCCAGACTAACACAGTATATAAATACACTAGTCACCAATTCTACATTTGTATATGTCCAATTCAGCGATACCAAAGACATTCACTGGGTGCCACCACCACCAACGTCCCTGGCCACGTTTTCCATCACTATACACAAGGACTCCCTGGTCACCTCGAATAAACTGGTTACCATACATTTGCATGTTCTGGACAAATTCATCTAAGTGACATCATACAGCAGATGTCATTTATGTTTAGGGCTACTGGGCCCCAGGAGGCTGAGGCCCTTCTAGGGGAGAGGGTTTTGTGATCCATTGTTTCCCATGTGTTTCACCACGTTAGCACGCCTGCTGGGTAAAGTCTTAAAAAGCCCAGGACCACAAAGAATTTTTCTGCTCCCAAAGTGGAGAAGGATGTGTAAATATTTAATATTTTACTTATCAGCAAAGGTGAAAAGAATTTGACTTCTCAGAAGAGTAATTTTTGGAAACTTGTGAAAAAGTGCAACTGCATAACAAAGTTTGTGATTTGTGTGGAAAATTAATTATATATGCAGTAGAACATTGTCCTCACCTTTAATTCTTTTAAAAATAACTTTTAAAATGTCAAGATTGTTTGGCGTATATGCTTCCCATATGATACAATTTAATTGTTCGATGATATTATTTGCTCTGTTTTCTAAGCATCATTTACTAGGATTTCAACAAGTTACTTACCTAGTCAGGAAGGTGTTTGTTAATTGAAGCCATTGGAATGACTAGAATGTCACAACATGGACCAAGAGTTTCAAATGGTGGAAGGCAGCAGTGAAGCTCCATGTTGAGTCTGGATGCCATCTGAGGGTCTTTCTGCCCATTCACAGGCCTGTGCGGACCATGCTGCTGCTCAGAAAGGGCTGAACCACAGATGACCGCTCCAGGGCAGCCCGGGGAGAGGCAGGCTGGCCCCTTGTTCCACTCTCAGGGAGAACCAGGGAACTTGCCAGGAGGGTCTTTAACGATTTCGAACATAGCCACATGTTACCCAAAGCTGGGGTTCCGCTGGCTGTGACTCAAGGCCACCAGGTAGCCAGGTGGTCAAAGCCCTGGGCCTGAGCCTGTTAAACTTTTAAAATCTGCATCTGTGGACTTAATCCACAGATGGGGGATGGGGAATGTAAGCCCAATAAGAGTGATCTGCACTTACTTCACATGACAGAACAAGCACCGTCAACATGGCCAGCATCATACAGTCAGGGTCGGCAAACACGCCATAGAATGAGGACTTATGCCAGGTAGAATGTGACAGAGCACCTCACGACTATGGAGATGGGCACACGCTCCTTAGAGGCTAAACCAACTGGACTCTCAATGACACACACCTGAATGACTAGACTCCCCAGCACGTGTGCATGTCAAATGTTTAATTAAATTGTTGACACATATATAAAACAGCTATTATAAATGCATACAGTTTATTCTATAGATGCCAGGTTTACTTTTCCCCCCTGTATTTAAGGAAACTGTAAGTTGCACGGTGCTTAAGACCTGTGTCTCTTCACCCTTGAAAAGCCCACATTCTATGACAGTGATGTATGGTCAGACTTAGCAGCCCGATTGCGAAAACACTTGGATGGAGACGGAACCAGTTTGATTGCAAAAGGGCCCTGTCACATTTATTGTTGATTCTAGTACCTTCAAGCTTCCCAGCAAGTCATCCCCATACAGAAACATGCCTCCTGAGAAGCAGCAGGTCGCACCCATCCCTTCTGCTGTACAGCAAGGCCTCCCTCCTGAGCAGCAGGGCCCACCCCCCTGCGGGCTGTGAGCTGTTTCTTTCTGCCTTCATCCTGAGGGAAAGATGGAAAGAACGAAGCCCACACGCAGCACCTGATCAACTACGTCTTACTTCAAAGGCCACGCGTGAAATCAAAGCATTGTACAGCATTTACTGCAAAACAGCGGGAAAGGGGCCTCCCGCTTAAGATGGCCCGCCCCGTATGCGGCGAGCCAGCTGCATGTCTTTGGGCATAATGGTGACTCTCTTGGCGTGGATGGCGCACAGATTGGTGTCTTCAAACAAGCCCACCAGGTAGGCTTCGCTGGCCTCCTGCAGGGCGCCGATGGCCGCGCTCTGGAACCTCAAGCCCACCTTCAAGTCCTGCGCGATCTCCTTCACCAGCCTCTGGAAGGGCAGCTTTCTGATGAGCAGCTCCGTGGACTTCTGGTAGGTGCGGATTTCCCGCAGCGCCACTGTGCCAGGCCGGTACCTGTGGGGCTTCTTGATCCCTCCCTGGGAGGAGGCGCTCATCCGGACCGGCTTGGTGACTGGCTGCTTGCGGGGAGCCTTCCCCGCAGTGAACTTGCGGGAGGTCTGCTTCGTTCTGGCCATCTTACACCTGCAGGAGAGAGAGCTCCGACCCAGGCTGTGTTTAATTCTGCCGACAGAACAGCATCATATAAATGAACACAAAAATTTAAGCACGTAAAAAAGAAAAGAATTGAATACAGGTGACTGGCAATTAATCAAATCGGACCCGAGTTTCTCTCCCTGCCCGCACCTTGGCCCCTCCTTTCCTGTAGTTACTAAAAATGAACTGTCTCTCTTCAGCTAAAGGTTTGATAACAATTTACTCAAGGAAGAAAATAACTCCATAACACACTATTGTCTGTTTCAAATCCATCACCGATTTAAAAGAAAAAGACAAGTCTGATTTCTGTCATTACATTATTTACCGCAAATAAATGGTTTTGACCGTCAAACAACACACAAGGCAAATTTCCAAACCCTCTCATTCATATTTTTTCTCTGTAGTCCGGGCGTAAGGCCAGTTCTCAAGCAGGCAATGGAACTACTGCTAGCAGGGACCTGCTTTTTCCCGGTGGCAAACAGACTCTAGCTCGAGGCTTTTAAAATCCATCTCTTTAATTCCCACCCTCACCTATTGGTCTTAAGCGGCTATTCATGAAAGGTATAAATGCTCAGGAGTGTCTCAGAAGATCTTTCTATTTCACCTTAGCTTTTCCAAAAAAATGTATTTAATTTATTACCGAATTACGCATAACTTTATCTTCAGACTTCTTTGCTCATGTGCAGAACAACACTGAAACTACTTTAACTAGCACTTACAAAAAACCAAAATATCACAACATATGTGCCTTTTCCTACAAGTATACAGTCTATTTTCAAACTGCTCCCCGCATGGACAATTCAAGCAAACTTAATAAAAAGAACAGATCTACGCAATGATTCAGACGCACGGCACCTGTCCCATCAGCTTCGTCTGTCACACACCCCTGTGTCGCAGCCCTCAGCCACAGGAGCAACTCTTACAACTTTTTACGGATCATAGCCAGGGACTGAATCTACCGTTCGCTACGCAGGCCAGTAAAACATTGCTTCTTAAAGTTTCTTCACTGTACTCGTCCCTTCTCACGAGAACTAATTATTATACTCCTGAACCGTGAAAGGAAACAAAAAGGAAGGATGTACCTAGACATGTCTCGCCATCTTTTCTTGTTAAGGCAGAGAGAGAGAAGATGGCTTTACACTTCTAGCCTGCTCTTCCTGCCCCCATCACCCAGTAGATGCCCGAAAACGTCCCCAAAGCCTTACTCTCTGAGCTCCTTCCTGGGGGCTTGCAGGCCACACACACATGCACGCACGCACGTACGTTTCTCCTACACGCATTTCTTACCCGTTTCCCCTGAGCATTTATATTTTCCCTTAAACTTACCAGATCTACCTTTCGCCACGGGACC